GCAAAATGAGGGGATTGGCATGGATGTTAGCTCAGGGCTGATCTTCCTCACACACACACAAAAAAAGATATACTAATGGCCAACAGGCACATGTAAAGATGTTCAATGGAATTAGTCATTCAGGAAAATCAAATCAAAACCACAATAAGATCCCATTTCATACCCACTAGAACGGCTATAATCAAAAAGATGGACAATTGTGTTGTCGAGGATGTAGAGAAACTAGAACTCTCATACACTGTTGTTTAGAATGCAAAATTGTGCAGCCCCTCTAGTGAGCAGTTTGGTAGTTCCTCAATTCCACTCCCACTCCTAGGTATATACCCACACAACTGAAACCATCTGTTCATGCAAAAACTTGTATATGAATGTATAGCAGCATTATTCATAACAGTCAAAGGTGAAAACAAGCCAACCCAAATGTCCATCAACTAATAACAGATAAACCTAATTTGATATATCTGTACAATGAAATGTAATAGAGCCATAAAAAGGCATGAAGCACTGACACATGCTACAGTAATGATGAACCTTGAAAACATTATGCTAAGTGAAAGACACTAGACACAAAAGACCACAGATTGAACGATTCCACTTATATGAAATATACAGAATAGGCAAATCTATACAGACAAAAAGCCAATTAGTGGTTGCTTAGGGCTAGGGGGTTGAGGGAAAATAGAGGAGTAACTGCTAATGGGTAGAGTGTTTCTTTTTGGGGTGATGAAAATGTTTTGAAATTAGGTAGTGGTGATGATTGCACAACTATATGAATATACTAAATACCACTGAACTGACACTTACACTTTAAAAAGGTAAATTTTATGGTACGTAAATTCTATCTCAATAAAAAAATTTTTTACTAAAACCATGTAAATTTTCCTATGTACTAATTTGGAAAGATCTCCAGTATGTATTCTTACATGTAAAAATCAAGGTAAAGAACAGGGTATTATATGGTGTGCTTGAATCCTTTTGGGTAAGAAGGGAGTAGAAATAAATACATACATGTCAAGTTGGTGGAGGCCTTTTGTGCTGAACACCAAATCAACCTAATTAAGGGTGATGACAACAAGAAATTAGGGGAATGGTTACGCCTCTGTAAAATTGACAGAGAGAGAAAACCCTGTAAAGTGGTTGGCTGCAGTTATGTGGTCGTTAAGGACTATGGCAAAGAGTTTCAGGCCAAGGATGTCATCAAATAGTAATTCAAATGTAAGAAATGAACAAATAAAAAAATCAGCTCTTGTTCCTCAAAAAGAAAAAAAAAATACATATACAGATACACACACATATATGCACAGATACACATATATATTCACATATATACATACAAATACATGTAAGAAAAGGGTAGAAATATATATTTATGTGTATGTATATATATATATATCTAGATAGATAAGAAATCATATTTACTTGTCTCTACAATTTAAAAAAGTGGAAAAATACATACACAAAAATTTGTTCCCTATAATTAGAAGGGGAGGTTGCAGTGATGGGAAGGCATGGGAGTGACAACTCACATTGTGTATCTATTTATATTGTTTATACTGTATTGATTTTTCCAACGTAAATACATTACCCAAGCCATACACAGAGAGAAAAAAAATATAAAGGAAAAAAGATCATGATAGCTTGGTATATAGTAATGGCTGGCATCACTATGGCAAATGTATGTGTCCTCTCCTCGCAGAGTATTTTGAGAATGCTGTCTCCATCTGAAAAGATCAATCCTATATCCACATGCTGAAATTTTAGGCTTTCAGATATTTGACTAGCTAGAACACGGTTTTTCCATTTCTAATCAGCAGTTTCTGTATTACAGCGCAATTTAATAATGGATAAAAATTGGAATAAAAAATTAACATTAACAGCCAACCCTGGTGGTCTAGTGGTTAAGATCTGGCACTCTCACTGCTGTGGCCCAGGCTTCATTTCCTGGTCAGGGAACCACATCACCCAACTGTCCCTTGTCATACTGTGGTGGCTACATGTTGCTGTGATGCTTTCAAGCTATGTCACCAGTATTTCAGATACCAGCAGGGTCACCCATGGTGGACAGGTTTCAGCAGAGCTTCCAGACTAAGACAGACTAGGAAGAAGGACCTGACCACCCACTTCCAAGAAAATTGGCCATGAAAACCCTATGAATAGCAAGAGAGCATTGTCTGATAGAGCACTGGAAGGTGAGAGGATGGCACAAAAAGACCAGGTAGGGTTCTGTTCTGCTGTACACAGGGTCGCTAGGAGTCAGAACTGATTCAACAGCACAAACAAAAAAGATTTTAAAAATCATAAGTCTTTTAAACATACTGATGCAAATAAATTTGAAAACTTAAAAAAATGTACAATTTTTAAAATAAATGTGTCCAAAATTGAACCAAGAAGCTTAGAAAACCAGAGAAAAACTATCAACCATCTAAGAAATAAAATTAGTATCAAAATCTATCCTTAAGAGATACAGAAAAAACATTGGGTATAATGGACATTCAAAACTTAAGGTGTAGGAACGAACTTACTTAATGGAATAATGGGTGTATACCAAGAGCCTACAGCGAGTATCCCAGTGTTTACTAACACCTCTTGAGTTCTCTCGGAAAATCAGGCGCAACGTAGGTAAGAAAGGACAAGATGCACTTAAAAAAGAATGAATTAAGGACTAATGGAATAAATTAGAATGTCCAGAAGCAGGTGTACGCTGACATAGTAATATACCAGATGATAGCTGTGGCATTATAATTCACTGAGGAAAAACATTAATAAGGAGTTGGTGCACTGGCTTTATGTGTTAAAAGGTAAGCCTAGATTCCCTCCTTATACTATCTACAATAGGAGTTTCAGACTGATTCAAGGCTTAAATATTTTTTTAAATAGTATTAATATTATTTAAACAAAAATAAAGAAAAATATTACCTTGGGTTAGGGAACAATTTTAAAATAAAATTCAAAAGGAAAAAAATCAAATGGAAAAGATCAAAAGACCAGCCTACATAAAAATATAAAACTCTCATAAGGCCAAAGGCACTACAGAGGTAAAGGTCAAGGGACAGACTTGGAGAAAACATTCACAATAAATACAATAGACAAAGAATTACTGTCCAAAATATATATAGTATTCTTGAAAAATTAATATAGAAAAATATGATTAAAAAATGAAGTCATTCACAAAAGCAATGAAAAAATATATGATGTACAAGCTCATGAGTAATCACAGAAATGCAAATTAAAATGATGAGTTTTTCTCAGCAGTTAGATTGGCAATAAGTCTAAAGTCTGACAACACCAAGTGCTGCCAAGGAAGCAGGGTAAGTGGCAGTCTATGTACAGAGCTACAGTCTAGATGAGGGAAATATTTATACAGAGCCATTTTAAGGGCATGCAGACCATTCAGCCTTCTTCCAGATCTTCTAGGTCTCACTGCTGGACCAAGCAAGACCATTGGAAAAATACGATTTCTTATCTATCTAGATAGATACTCGAACTCTGTCATAGACTGAAAGTTTGTGCCCACCCAAAACTCACATGTTGAAGCCCTAATCTCCAATGTGATGGTATTTGGGAAGTAATTGGGTCATGAGTGTGGAGCCCTCATGATGAGATTAATGCCCTTTGAAGAAAAGACATGAGAGAGCTTGACCCCCAACTCTCTCTCTTCACCATGTGAAGCTACAAGGAGGAGGCCATCTGCAAACTGGAAGAGGCCCTCATCAAGAACCAAATCTGATGGCACCTTAACCTTAGACTTCCCAGATTCCGGAACTATGAGAAGTAAGTGTTTGCTGCGTAAGTCACCAGTCTGTGATAATTTGTTACAGCAGTGCCCATGTTTTAGTGCCGTAAAAGACTCTCCTCTCTGGTTCCTTCGTTGCTGTAAGAAAGATCAGAGGCAAATTTGTAGCTTGACTTTGATAACTCTGGGACATTATAGGACCTGCATATATCCATCTGCTGACTTTGCTCAGCTATTGACCTGCCACTCTATAGTTTCAGTAATGTTGATTTTCATTTCTATTTTTCTATTTAAATTTCTGTTACCTTACAAACTGCACAAAGTCCATTGTAAAACAAAGTGGGAATACATAACTCTCTTGACATGAGTACAGCTATGTTTGGCCGCTCCACTGACCTACAGCCATCAGCACAAAAAGAAATACAAAGCTGCTTTCTGTGTGGTGGGAACCGGCCTTTTCCCGGGAACTGGCCTTTCTCCCATGGAGAGAGTTGCAAGTTGTAACATTTCAAGGCTCTTGGAGCGTCGTGGCCTGGAATGGACTGGCCATCTGTGCCGGGCTGAGACGATAACCAAAGAGAACAATGCACGTACACAACTACTGGGCTGGGACGTTAGCCAGGGGGCTCAGTGCACGTACGCCACTGATAACCATTTGTGCATGGGAACACTAAATGCTTGCTCTGCAAACTCTGTAATTGCTTACTCTGAAAATTACTGATGGTATAAAAACTGCTGGAAACTGAGCCCTAGTGAGAGTTCCACCTGTGGAAGGGACACCTTACCCAGAACGTGTGATCCTTGCCCAGCCACGTTGATTGACAGGGCTCTCCCAGCAATGGGGCGTGGATGTTGTGAGTAACTGATTTGATGTGAAGTAATTGATTTGATGTGAAGTAATTGATTTGATGTGTTCTCTTTTCGGTCAACCTGGTGTTTCTCTTTCCGGTTGATTTGTGTCATTTCTCTTCACCCGATGTGGGTGTTTTCCCTTTCCAGTCGGGCTGATGTTTTTTCCCTCTTAATATTTGACCTATTCAGATCTGTTTGCAGACTGTCGCCTTTACTATCCTCTATATAATAAAATATACCTTCGGTCCATTTGTTTGGAGTGGAAAGTGTCTTTTACGTCTCCGATCGAATCCCCGAACCTCGGATAACAATAACTCACCTGTGACTTGTTCATTTTCTGTTGCTCTTGGAAAACTGAAGAGAACTGTAAAGGTACAGCTGGGGAAGAAGGAAGAGAACAAGGTCCTGTGATACCGGGCCTGTGGCGCGGCTCTCAGACTCATCTGCTTTTCAAGCTTCACGCAGCAGCTGCCTATAAGGCCCCTGAGGGTCAGTGTCCCTTTAACTCCTAGAAGGACAGGATAGACCCTGTGAAGGAGCACCCATATGTCTATGCTGACTCTGATGGTCACAGAGAGCTTAGAATGTGATTTTTCATGGGATTAATGTAAACATTTCCTACTAATTTATAAAGAATTTTCCCCTCCCACTGACTAAAAGAAAAATTAAAAACAGAGGACTAATTAAACAAAGTGCAATACAGAGAAGACTGTGCCTTCATTAAAACTAAACTGCAAAAATATAAGTAAATAAAAGCAAGCAAGCAAGCAAACAAACCAGCCAGCCCTGGCTGTACTGTTTCTCTGCATTCCTAGTGACAGTGTTTGCCCCTTGAGTTACAAAATCCTCATCAACATCCCCTGGAAAGGGATGAGGTACTTTGTTTATTCTAACGTGGTTAGTTTCTCAAAAGGATCTTTTAATAAAAAACTTGATGTGACTTAATTGTTAAGAGTGGACAGCAACGAGTTCTCTGGGCATGCCACTAAGAGTTATGTGATTCTAAACAAGTTACTTACCTTCTAGGCCCGTTTTTTTTTTTTTCCACCTCTCAAATAAAGGCAAAATAAAAAAATCTTGAAACTCTTTTTGTACATTACTTATTTGATTTTTTACCATCAGAACAGAAGGAGCAATGGTGCATCTCTCTAGGCTGTGTAGAGAGTAAATGCAGAGTGAAAGGACTGGGACTGATGAGGGCAGGCAAAGGGGCAATTTCCCCTTCTATGGGTGGTGACTCCTTTCCCTGGACTGTGTCCTCACAGAGCCTCCAGTGAAGTGCCCTTGGCAACGCTGCCAGCCTCATCTCAGTTCTGAAAGCTGATCACTGGACAGTCTGGAATTGCTTCTGGATGTGGGGACATCACCAAGTGTTGCTCATTCTGTGTAGAAGGACCAAGAATTACTTCTGTCCAGGCAGTTCTAGAATAGTCTTTCCTGGGCCTTTTCTGCCTCTGTTCTGAGCCTCTGGTGAGAGGTCTCAGATGGAGGGGTGATCTTCCAGGTGGGGTACTTGGGGATTAGTCCTTCTTACCTCAAGAGCTGCTTTGCTCCAAGGAAGCTGGGACCTGGGCTGAGGGAGAAAATTAAATTGAGTGGTAACTTTCAAACAGGGCTCCCAACCTGACCCTCATGGAACATACTTTCTCCAAGAACCAAGGGCTGCGCCATGTACAAACTCAAATGAAGGCGTCCAAAGACAAAGGCTGCCCACGGCAGATCTGGTCCAGAAACCGCAGTTGTGCTCCCTGACCCAAGGGCTCAGAAGAATCATCAAGAATCCCCAAAACACAAAGGCCAAGTAATGATTCAGTCCATACACATTTCACAATTATTTCCTTGGGTCCTATAAAGACACAACGATGCTCAATGCAACGAATAACGATGCCAGGTTTCAGGCAAGGTGGTTTATTAGAAAGACCAGGAGACAGCGCAGAAAAATAGGTGAAAAATCAAAAACTAGATTCCCAGCGCTGCTCTCTGCGTGATCTTGGGTAAATTACTTCACCTCTCTGAGCGTCAGTTTTCCTCTTAACATAGAGACCGTTAAACCTACCTCAAAGATGTTTGTGAGAATTAAAGACCTCTGATGGTAAAAATCAAAGTATATATATAGTATATAAATTAAATTTACAGCGCAGAACCGCATGGGTCAGGTATTATAAATATTCTTGTTTTGCAGAAGATGAAACTGAGTCTCTCGCAGTTAGCTGTCATTCCCAGGGTTGCTCAGTGACAGCGCTGGGACCTGAATCCCGCTCCGCCCGCTGCAGCCCGCGCCCCTATCCCGTGGCCGCGTGTACACGCACGGACTCTGCGGCCTCCCCGGGCCCGCGCCGCCGCGGCCCCAAGCCTGACGCCGGCCTCTTCCCCAGACAGAGACGCCCCGCCCCGCAGTCCCTCCTCCCGGCTCAAGCGCCCCCACCCGCCCTCTTGAGTTCAGGTGCTGGGGGTCCCGCCGTGAGGTCCGCGGAGCTCCTCCCCACCGCCGCCCCCGCCTGCCCCCGAGCCGCGCGGACCTTAATCGGCCCTCGCTCAACGCTCCGGGGCTCACCCGACCCTTTCCCGTCAGACTGTACTGGCCCCCGAAGATCGCATAGACTCTACCTCCCCGGAACTACCTCCCAAGCGAGGCTGTAGCCTGGGGAAAGACAACTTACGGCTACGGAGCAGAAGTACGCACGCGCAAAAGGAGCTCCGATGTTCATACCAAAGTAAAAACTACATTTCCCATAAGTCCTTGCTCCCACACCTTTGGGGAATGTGTTTCTGATTTAAAGGCTCCTGTTACCCTGGCGCCCAGGTTTTCTAAGCGCCGCCAGGTTATGGATTAGAACTCGACTCTACTGACATAACTGACATAATAGCCAGTGGAATGCGTGGTTCTTGATTGGATCTGCCTTAAACAAATCAGCTGCAAGGACATTTTGAGAACAAATAGAGTCATTTTTACTTATTAAAATTGGACTGTTTATTAGTGATATTAAAGAATTATTTCTTATTAAGTGCAATAATAGTATGCATTGTGGTTCTGTAGAAAATGTACTTAATTTTTAAAGATGCAATACTGAAGTATTTAAAATATTTTGTGCAAAAAGTTATAAGGAGCAAATATAGCAAATCTTCAGTGTTTAATGACTATAGATATTCATTTTACTAATCTTTCTACTTTAACAAAACAAAACTGGGTTCTACCTACAACCAGTGAATGTGCATGAATACCCACATATTTTAAGGCTAACTTTTCCCATAAGAATTATACATTGGAGTGGATGTTTTTGTTTTTGTTTGCTGAGGAAGATTAGCCATGAGCTAAGATCTGTGCCGATCTTCCTCTACTTTATATGTGGGTTGCTGCCACAGCATGGCTGATGAGTGGTGTAGGTCTGTGTCTGGCAACCAAACCCTCCAACCCAGGATGCTGAAGCAGATCCCGCAGAACATAACCACTAGGCTATGGCTGACCCTGGAGTGGATGTATTCTTAATATAAAACTAGAACCATTGTAGCATATTTATTCTTCATTGCTGATTTTTTTTGGCTCTTTTAAAATTGATGTCATAATAGTTTATAACATTGTGAACTTTTAGTTGTACATTACTGTTTGTTAGTCGCCATATAAATGCATCCCTTCACCCCTTGTGCCCTCCAACCTCCTTCCCGCTCCTAACCACCAAACTGTTCTCTCTGTCCATGTGTTAGTTTATCTTCCACATGTAAGTGAAATCATGCAGTGTTTGTCTTTCTCTGTCTGGCTTATTTCACTTAACATAATACCCTCAAGGTCCATCCATGTTGTTGCAAATGGGATGATTTTGTCTTTTTTATGGCTGAGTAGTATTCCATTTTATATATATACCACATCTTCTTTATCCAATCATCAGTTAAGGGACACTTAGATTGCATTCACTTTTTGGCTATAGTGAATAATGCTGCAATGAACATAGGGGTGCATAAGCCTCTTTGGATTGTTGATTTCAGGTTCTTTGGATAGATACCCAGTAGTGCAATAGCTGGATCATCATAAGGTATTTCTATTTTTAATTTTTTGAGGAATCTCCATACTGTGTTCCATAGTGGCTGCACCAGTTTGTGTTCCCAACAGCAGTGAATGAGGGTTGCCTTTTCTCCACACCGACATTTGTTATTTTTTGTCTTGGTGATTATAGCCATTGTAACAGGTGTAAGGTAATATCTTAGCATTGTTTTGATTTGCATTTCCCTGATGATTAGTGATGTTGAACATCTTTTCATCAATAGATGGCCTATTGGCCATCTGTATATCTTCCTTGGAAAAATGTCTGTTAATGTCCTCTGCCCATTTTTTGATTAGGTTGTTTGTTTTTTTGTTGTTCAGTTGTGTGTGTTCTTTATATATTATGGAGATTAACCCCTTGTTGGATATATGGTTTGAAAATACTTTCTCCCAGCTGGTGGGTTGTCTTTTCATTTTGATTCTGGTTTCATTTGCCTTGCAAAATCTCTGTAGTCTGATGAAGTGCCTGTTTTTTCTTTTGTTTCCCTTGTCTGTGTAGACATGGAATTCGAAAAGATCCCTCTATGATCAAAGTCAAAGAGTGTACTGCCTATATTTTCTTCTAGGAGTTTTATAGTTTCAGGTCTTACCTTCAAGTCTTCGATCCATTTTGAGTTAATTTTCGTGTATGGTGAAAGAAGATGGTCTACTTTCATTCTTTTGCAAGTGGCTGTCCAGTTTTCCCAGCACCATTTACTGAAGAGACTTTCCTTTCTCCATTTTATGTTGTTAGCTCCTTTGTTGAAGATTAGCTGTCCATAGGTGTGTGGTTTTATTTCTGGGCTTTCAATTCTGTTCCATCGATTTGTGTGTCTGTTTTTGTACCAGTACCATGCTGTTTTAATTATTATAGCTTTGTAGTATAATTTGAAGTCAGGGATTGTGATGCCTCCAGCTTTGTTCTTTTTTCTCAGGATTGCTTTGGCTATTCTGGGTCTTTTGTTGCCCCATATGAATTTTAAGATTCTATGTTCTAGTTCCGTGAAGAATGTCATTGGGATTCTGATTGGGATTGCATTGAATCTGTAGATTGCTTTAGGTAGTATGGACATTTTAACTGTTTATTCTTCCATTCCATGTGCATGGGATGTCTTTCCATTTCTTTATGTCATCATTGATTTCTTTCAATAATGTCTCATAGTTTTCATTGTATAGGTCTTTCACCTCCTTGGTTAAATATATTCCTAGATATTTTATTATTTTTGTTGCAGTTGTAAATGGGATTGTGTTCTTGAGTTCTCTTTCTGTTAGTTCGTTATTAGAGTATAGAAATGCAACTGATTTTTGTAAGTTGATTTTGTACCCTGCAACTTTGCTGTAGTTGTTGATTATTTCTAATAGTTTTACAATGGATTCTTTAGGGTTTTCTATCTATAAAATCGTGTCATCTGCAAACAGTGAGTTTCACTTCTTCGTTTCCTATTTGGATTCCCTTTATTCCTTTTTCTTGCCTAATTGCTCTGGCCAAAACCTCCAGTACTATGTTGAATGGGAGTGGCGAGAGTGGGCACCTTTGTCTTCTTCCTGTTGTCAGAGGAATGGCTTTCAGTTTTTCCCCATTGAGTATGATGTTGGCTCTAGGTTTGTCATATATGCCCTTTATTATGTTGAGGTACTTTCCTTCTATACCCATTTTATTGAGAGTTTTTATCATAAATGGATGCTGTATCTTGTCAAATGCTTTCTCTGTATCTATTGAGATGATCATGGGATTCTTATTCTTCATTTTTTTAATGTGCTGTATCATGTTGATTTATTTGTGGATGTTGAACCATCCCTGGAATAAATCCCACTTGATCTTGGTGTATGATCTTTTAAATGTATTGTTGTATTCAATTTGCCAGCATTTTCTTGAGGATTTTTGCATCGATGCTTATCAGTGATATTGGCCTGTAATTCTCTTTTTTTGTGTGTTGTCCTTGTCTGGTTTTGGATCGGGGTAATTTTGGCTTCATAGAATGAGTTAGGAAGCTTCTTCACCTCTTCACTTTTTTGGAAGAGTTTGAGAAGGATAGGTATTAAGTCTTCTTTGAATGTTTGGTAGTATTCACAAGGGAAGCCGTCTGGTCCTGGACTTTTACTTTGGGAGAGGTTTTTGATTACTGTTTCAATCTCCTTACTGGTGATTGGTCTATTCAAATTCTCTATTTCTTCTTGATTCAGTTTTGGAAGCTTGTATGATTCTAATAATTTATCCATTTCTTCTAGAATATCCAATTTGTTGGCATATAGCTTTCTATAGTATTCTTTTATAATCTTTTGTATTTCTCAGCTGTCAGTTATAATTTCCCCTCTTTCATTTCTGATTTTACTTATTTGAGCCTTCTCTCTTTTTTCTTGGGGAGTCTAGCCTTCTCTATTTTTTTCTTGGGGAGTCAATTTTGTTTATCTTTTCAAAGAACCAGCTCTTGGTTTCATTGATTTTTTTCTATTGTTTTATTAGTTTCTGTTTCATTTATTTCTGCTCTGATTTTTATTATTTCCCTCCTTCTACTGATTTGGGGTTTTGTTTGTTCTTATTTTTCCAGTTCCTTTAGGTGCACTGTTAGATTGAGAGTTTATTGTTTGTTGAGATAGGCCTATATTGCTATAAACTTCCCTTTTAGAACTGCTTTTGCTGTATCCCATAAATTCTGGCATGTAGTATTTTCATTTTCATTTGTCTCCAGGTACTTTTTGATTTCTTCATTGACCCAACTGTTGTTCAGTAGCATTTTTTAAATCTCCACATATTTGTGGCTTTTCTGATTTTC